GAACGGAAAAAAAAAAAAGAAATCAGCCTAAATTTGGAGAGCGCATATACAAAGCTGGAAATGATGCACACACATATACGATGAATCCAAAAACAATGAAATTAAAAAAAAAAACACGACAAATAAAACGCATTAAATGAACATCTGTAATCCAGAAATACAATAGATTCTGTTGATATCATGATCTGGGACTTCCTTCGTGAACTGCGGAATTCTCTGGCCTTTCTGCAACAAAATTCATAAATCATTTGCAAATAATTAAAAATTAAGATAAGCAAGATATCTTACTTCAGTAAATGCCTCACAGTCCTCCTAGCCACTAAACTACCTCACTTTTTGAGGCAGTAACATTCGCAACGAGCTGTCGAAACTCATTTTACACTATCTTGAAACCTTCCTAAATGTTCTACAGAGAAAACCGTTGACCCCTTTGAAATACGGAACGAAATGCCAAAAAAAACCAATCAAACTGACGACATACTGGTCATCGAACTGACCACTAGATAATTTTGCAGCACTGGTCAAAGCAATTGAAAAAAAAAAAAAAACGAGCAGCTGCACTAGGCTTTTGACTTGTTTTACTGGGCAATACCATTGGAGCAGTACATAATGCAGTTTTTTCTTAAGATACCGTGTCCTAATTTTTTCCTGCTTTCTAAGCAGATAAAAAAGAATGTTTGAAACTTACATATACTATTTCGGCGTTATCTCGAAGGATTTCCTGTACTTTGCGTGATTTGGTTGTTGGCACAGCGAGAACGATTTTCATATCGTCCGGCTTTTCGAATAGTTTGAAAAAGCATGAAGCAAGCGCGCAAAATAGCACAAGAAATGCTTCATCGGAATCACAGTAGACGGGGCCAAATTCCGGCCCATCAACACGTGAAATCAAGCGGCCGCAACCGTATCCGACAATTTCGTTTGACGAATTCACGAGCACCTGAATAAACCAATATGCAACAGATTTTTTACCATTTATATACAATTGCGCAGTACTTAGCCATGATCCAGAATTGCCACTTTCAGAGCTGGAGAATACTCCTCTTTTGTCAAATTTCGTTTTGTAATTGCCAATGAAATATTAC